TCTCTTTTTTTTTTTTTTTTTTTGAGACAGAATCTTGATCTATCACTAGGCTGGAGGGAGTGCAGTGGTGTGATCCTGGCTCACTGCAACTTCCGTTTTCCAGTTTCAAGCAATTCTCCTGCCTCAGCCTCCCGAATAGCTGGGACTACAGGCATGCACCACCACACTTGACTAATTTTTTATTTTTTGTACTTTTAGTAGAGACGGGGTTTCACCACGTTGGCCAGGATGGTCTTAATCTCTTGGCCTCGTCATCCGCCCGCCTCGGCCTCCCAAAGTGCTGGAATTACAGGCGTGAGCCACCGCGCCCCACCTGGTTATTCTAATTTTTAATAGGTTTTTTGGGATCAGTCAGATGAGAACTTTCAGAAAGCTCAACTCCTGGCATGATAATTATGACGAAGGTCAGGTTCACCAAGGGACACTTAAAAACATCTCTCTTTCTAATACTCTAGGGACAGATTTAGTAACCCCTACTATCACTACTATAATTGATAAACCAGTTAAACTTGGATAAAATGATTACACTATCACTTAATCAAAAACAAAGACATCAGCTTTTCCAGTTTAATTCTTTGGTGAGGTCATGGTACTGTGCACAAGACAATTCATTCCTTCACCCAGAGGATCATTACAGAAAACTCAGAAATAGGGCTCCCAGTCTAACTGGGAAGAGATGACGTGCCTCATACAAAGCACTGGCTCCTGAGAAAAGACAGAACAATTAAAACAACTTATTTGACCAATCATTTCCTTTAGAAATTTATCTTAAAAAGATCCCCTGTGGTTTATGGCTATGTCATTAAACCCAAGAGGTAAAGTTTGCCTAGAACCACTTCTGGAACATTATACTGGATTGTGTTCAGTGTGAGGCAGACTGGCAAGGAATAGTAGAGACTAAAAAAGGACTTATCCCACAGAGCTCTGGATGGAGAACCACGGCAGCACTGCAATTAAGACCTACAGCATTTGCAAAATTTAAACTTCACCTTTTCTTTAAATTTTGTAGAGATGGAGTCTCGCTATGTTGCCCAGACTGGTCTTTAACTCCTGTCCTCAGGTGATCCTCCCACCTTGGCCCCTTTAAGTGCTGGGATTACAGGCATGAGCCACCATACTCGGCCTCAACCTCACTCTTGTACTTTCTGTACACGGGGAAATTATTCTGTCTTAGCCAGCTTAAAAGGGAAGCAAGAGGAAATAGAGCCATACCCCCTAACCTCACTCTCATATGGCAAAAGCAAGCAGTAATTTTTTTTTTTTTTTTTTGAGACAGAGTCTCACTTTGTCACCCAGGCTATAGTGCAATGGTGTGGTCTTGCCTCACTGCAACTTCCGCCTCCGGGGTTCAAGCGCTTCTCCCACCTCAGCCTCCTGAGTAGCTGGGACTACAGGCATGTGCCACCACACCCAGCTAATTTTTGTATTTTTAGTAGAGACGGCGTTTCACTGTTAGCCAGGCTGGTCTCAAACTACTCCTGACCTTGTGATCTACCCACTTCGGCCTCCCAAAGTGCTGGGACAGGCATGAGCCACTGTGCCCAGCCAGGACAAATTAATGAAAACACATTCAACAATAAAAATGTTCTGAGACATTAACTACTTGATCTAACTATTCTGGTTAAGTTAATGAAATACTTCTCTCTCCAGCCTGGCCAACATAGTCAAACCCTATCTCTACTAAAAATACAAAAATTATCTGGATGTGGTGACAGGCACCTGTAATCCCAGCTACTTGGGAGGCTGAGGCAGGAGAGTCACTTGAACCCCAGAGGTGGACATTGCAGTGAGCCGAGATGCTTCACTGCACTCCAAGCCTGGGAGACAATGCAAAGACTCCTGTCTCAGAAAAAATAAATAAGTAAATAAAAATACTTCACTTTTGGTGGAAAGAATGTGGCTTCAGACACAGAAAAGTGGGATAAGCCTCACTAAATGAAATTCGTCTAGAGAATTCCACTTAAAAGACTTCCTGCCTTTGCACCAATATCTACAATGCTTTGTGATTTAGATAATAACTCAGTTAACTCAGCGGTACATTGAGTACTGGCATCTTCAAAGGAGAACTGGAGATGTGAAACAAGCACTACTTCATTTACTACTATTCACAAATCTCTGATTACCAGTTCCCATTCATGGTCTCAAAAAAATAAAAATAAAAAATTCAATGAAATGCACAGTCTAGGCAAGACTGAATCTCACCAACAGCTAAAGAGTCCCTCCTTCTCTCTCCTTTTCCAGCTAAAGTGGAAATTGTTAATTGTTACAACTTGACAAGACTTTAGACTCATCTAATTAAAAAATTCAGAGGTTAGGTTTTAGAGTTTAAAAGCCCAATTTCAGGCAAACCAGACAGCACACTTTTTCCATGCCTGACGTTTCTAATAAACATTTTCAGCTTTATCAAATAAATGAGACTAAAGATAATAGAGAGCTTAGCAAATCTCACTCAACATATGTGTCAACAATCATGGTTAACACCAATTTCATACTAGGGGTAGGATGTAAGCCCACGTTTTAAATCAAGAAGTCTACAATTCAGTCCTAGTATATGTATGCCAAACAAGCACACTAAAAAAATGTAAGCAACTGGGAGTAACTAGTAAGCAACACAAAATACAGGCACAAATTTCTCCTAAGACCAGCAAAGAAAACTTGACCAGAGATATCTTCTCCAGGTAAATTACACCTTACAGGAAGTAAAGGCTAAAAACCACAGACCCTTAGTCACTTCATAATAAAAAATTTAAAGCCAGCAGCAAAACTTCCTCTAGGATAATGATTTTGGTCCCTGCAATTTTACAAGCCGGGATGGGGTGCCCTCCTGGGCAAAAGTATCTTGGGAATGGTAATGGGAGCTTCCTACATAACTTCTGACCACAGACTTAATTTGCTCAGTATCAGTCATCTGTCTAATAAGTGTTCCCAAACCTGCAATTAGTACAAATATACAGCAGACACGACTCCACAAACCGAGAGATGGAATGTGAATGGAACTGTTAAGAGACCTTCAGTGAAATTTCACTTAAGAAAACAAAAACAAAAACAGAGGGATAAAAAAGGCAACATCAAAAAACTGGTGGGAACAAACAGAATAGCCCCCTCTTCTCTCTCCAGACTGGCTCCTCTCGCCTGCCTCAGTCAACTGTTGCTGAACCACAAAAAGAGACCCAGTAGAACAAGACAAAATCTGGGTTTGCTGCCGCAGATGTGGGATTTTTGTGGAGGGCAGAGGTGATTTCTGCCGGCAGAAGATGGAGTTTAAACTATTCTTTGCCGGATTGTTCTGGGCTGAGCCGCTGAGGAGGATCAAGCAGCGGGCGATCAACCCAAGTCCCTCCCTCTCAGTTCGGTTTCTCCCCTCCCCTAACGTTCAGTAAGGGGGGAAAGACCGTACGGCTTTCCAGCTCTCAGCTCCTTAAAAATACCTTTCCCGTGCCACCGCACACGATCCTTCCCCGGCAGCAAAGAATTTTGCAGCGAAAGGCTCGCCGATCCGGAGCGGAGAAGTGAAATCGGCGCCCAAGGGCAATTTTAATTGTCTAACCCGGTCCGATTTCCTAAGAGGCAGCGGCGCCGGGAGGGAGGAGGGAAGAGGGAGGAGGGAGGAAGGCAGCTCTGAGAGGCAACAGGGGGCAAGCGGAGACAGAGAAAGGGGACCAAAGCGGCGAGATCCCAGCCTGAGCCCCCGAGGAGCTTCTGCAGAAAGGACTGCGGGGCTGCCCCCACCGTTTCCCGGGAGACGTTTGCAAATCATATATGCAGCCAAAATGGCGCTGAGAATAAAAATATAATTTAAAGGCAGGTCGCCATATTGTAAACAGAGAAGCAAAGAAGAGGCGGACTCGAGAGACACCCTCCATGATTTCTTCCACAGCCACAAGTGCCCGGTTGCCGGGGTCTGGACCAGGGCAACTCGGGTGGCCGAGGGCTCCACGCACCCACCCCAAAGAGAACCAGACCGGGCAGGAGCCCCGAGGGCAGCGGGCGCGCGGGCAGGCAAGCGGCACTGGGCCCTGAGCTCCTCCCCTTCCTCCCCCACCACTGCCTGCCGTCCCGGCCGGCTCTGTCCCGGCTCCCCAGCGACTTCCAATCACATATGGGGTTCTCTTCACTCCTCCCAACCCCCACCTCGAAGTCCGGACCCACCGCTGCTCCTTCCCCCTAAACTGCCAGAACCCGGGGGACACCTGGGGGCGGGGAGGTGCTCGCCTCGGCGGCTGCAGAAAGTCAGCTAGCGGCTGCAAGCGCCCGTTATTTCGGCAGGCAGGGGCAGGCCGGGTGAAGGAATGCGCAGAGAAGGATCCACCAAGAAGCTTCAAAGAGGTCCCCAGGACCTTACCAGCACTGGAGGTGGAAGGCAGCCGGGCAGTGGTCGCAGCACAGGAGATCTCCACCTTCCTTGCAGCTATCGCAGCTGTCGTGGTTGGTGGCCCTGCCGCTTCTCCGGGGCTCCTTCTCAGGCTTCCGACTCCGCTTTTCTGCCTCGTCCGTCTTGGGGGGAGCCAGTAGAGCTTGGATTTGCTGCACACACATACAAACCGCGTGTGTGCACACTCGGAGCTCCCGGGCGGTCCGTCGCCCCCCCGGCGCAGCTTCTCCGTCACCCACCCCTCTCCCCCCTTTTGTCCTTCTTCCTCCCATCCAGGCTGTTCCCAGAACCTCTCGGCCCCCGGAACCAGGGGGAGCCCACCCTAACCGCGTTCCTGCAGCACAACAACGAGAACAGCTTCTTCCAAATGGGGAGGATCAAGGGTAGGGGGATGGGAAGAGGGTGCGCGGTTCCCTTCTTGCCACTTCCTTGTATGGACAGTGGGGGACTCCAAAGCCCGGCTCGGGAGAGGCCCGAAGCCCGGTACCCGGACGTGCTGGGGGAAGCACAAAGGGGCCAACAAGAAGGGGGTGGGGAGGCCCGCCGGTGCAACGAGATGGAGTGGGCTGGCGCCTCGGGAAAGCGAATCGAGGGCGGCGGGTAGGTGAAACTGCTGCAAACGTCCTCGGAGACCGAGATCAACCCCCCAAATTGCAAAGAGAGGAGGGAGAAGCTGGGTGAGGAAGAATCCCCCTCCCTCGACCCTCTAGGCGCTTCGAGTTTAGGACCGGCTTTGTGGGGCGGAGGGCGGAGGTTCCCTCCCGACGCTCGGGGAAGGGGATGAGGAGGGCCACTCTTACCTCCATCAGCCCCCCTGATGTGTCCAAGTCGTACACGATCGTCTTGGTCTCCATTTTCTCCCACATTCATCCACCTCCCGGGCTGGGTGCTCTCTGCTCCGGCCCCCCCAACCCCGGGGGGAGGGGGGATGTGGGGGTAGGGGGCGCTCCTGACCCCGGCCCTGCTTCTTTTTTCTCAACACGGGTCCCGACTTCCTCGCCCTGGCTCCCCCCCACCCCCCGGCCCCTAGTCCCCGGGACGACAGCGTCCTCCCTACGGGCCGCGAGGGGGGAGCGGCCCCTCAGTCCCGGCCCGGCTGCTGGCTGCACAGTGGGTCCCGGCTCCGGGGTCAGGCCTTGGCGGGGCCTAGTCCCACAGGCTAAAGCCGGCACTGGCGACCGCCGGTCCGGCCGGGAAGGCTGGCGGGCGCTGCCATCCCGGGGCTGGGGGGATAGGAGGGGGGGTGAGAGGTTAGGTGAGGTTGTGGTACGTGAGGTGACTGGGGGGAGGGTGATGGGGGGTGGTCCCCGGGCTCCGCCTCTCGCCGCTGCCGCCGTCTGCGTCCCGGCTGCCGCGCACTTGGCGCAAACTTACCGCGAGCGCCCGCAAAGCCACCCGCGCAGGCGCCCCGGGATCGCTGCTAGCCGCGCGCAACCGCAGTGACAGCCGGCGGCCGGGCTCCCGCGCAGCCGCAGTAAGGGAGTACCCCCCAGCGCGCAGCCGCGCTGGCATTCGTCTGGAGCACCGAAGCCCCACCTTCTGCCTTGCGCCAGCGCACTGAGACAAAAGGGCGGGACCTGAGGTCTCGCGCAGGCGCTTGGGAAAGCTCGTCGGGGTCAAGGCGCAGCCGCAGGGAGCTAGGGACTCTTCATCCATTGGTGTTTGTGTGCAAACTAAGAGGACTTTGTTCCTGCGCAGGCGTGTTGGGGGTGCTCCCCTCCCACTCCATAACACAGACGCCTCCTGCGCACGCGTATTGTTTCCGGCAGGCCCTCACAAGAAAGCTGCTCCTTTCGCCATTTTGGTAGTGGGTTATGGGCTATCATGCCCTTGGAGTCCTCAAGCATGAACAGAAAGGAGCAAGGTGTGGTGTAGGATGGAGCTGGTCACCTATCGGTGACAGCAGTGTTCCTAGGGATGTTGTACTGGACTGTTGGTTCTAGCATCAGGTGTGGCTGGACCAGGCCGCCATATTGGTAAAGAGAAAAGCCATTTGCGACAGAAAATGACGCCTTTGATGGCATGTTGGATGACTGTGGTTCCTACTTTTCTCCCGCTCCTGATAGCTAATTTTATCAATTAATTGTATCCTGAGCATCCCTACTTTCCGTGGTGGTGGCCTTGTGGGGACTTGCGCCTGTCCGTTACCATCCTCTCTTCACCACTGTCCCTGATATCTCTTCTAGAGGAAGCCTAAAGCGGAGTTTATAATCCTGACAACGCCCAGCTACCTGCGTATCCCGGACTCCAACTCCCAGTTTGCAATGCCAAAGGGTCTAAAGGGCGACCGGGGGAGCATTGCACGCTGGTAGCAAGAATCGCGATAGGTCTGGTGGATTGTGGGAGTTGTAGTTCCGTGTGCATGCGATGCACTCTATGGTAGGATGGACCCAGGGAGGAGTCATTTGCCTGCCAGGAAGGGATGCTTTTGAGAGCGTCTGTGCTGCATGCCGGGATTTGTAGTCTGAGGGTCCGCCTCGCATTCTGGGCGGGGATTCATGCTCCTTTTCAGGGCGCCCGCTCCTCCCCTTGGTACCGCCTTCAGAGATGGCCGATTACTGCTGCCTGATGGTGGATGAAGAAGTGGAGAAGGGAACTGCATCGTTGTGCTTGACCCTAGGGGGTTAGTTGGAATTGTTCTCTCGTAGCTGTGCTCTGCCCACTTTTGGTGTTAAGGGACACAGCATTCCCAGAGTCGTAAAACTAAAAAGGGTTTAGAGATCATCTGATTTAATCCCGTCTTTTCCAGATGCACAGAGAGGAGCAGTGATTTGCCTAGGTCACACAGTGCATTTGTGGGAGACCTAGGAATTAGATTTCTTAATTCTCAGGCCAGACACTCCGTTACACCATGTCGAATGTTTCTAAGGAATTGGTACGCTTTCTTTGGGGACAGTAAGGAGGATGAGTTAGAGTGGGGATGTCAGTGTACCCTCAGAGAGGGGAGAGCTGAACTAGATCATTTGTATGAAAGAGGCAAGATTTTCTGTCTTCTGTGGCTATACTTTATGCCACAGGCTCTCAGAAGTTAGAACCTCATGTGCTCCCTCTCTTTGGCTTTTTTCCTACTGCTCAGGGCCCAGCTGTCCTGCTGTGTCAGCCTGAAGGTATTATGGAGCAGAAAAGTAAGCCATTGGCATCCATCCACTGAACAAGGCTTTGCTTTGATCGACACCATCAGTTGCAGCTGATAATAGGAACTATGGGCTAATGAGAGAAATAAGACTTGGCTCTGTTGACAGGTGCCAGGGAAACTTCACACACCTTCCTCTTGGAACTTGGAGGATGAAGTTAGGCCAGTGGGGTCCAGCAATGTGCCACCTTGGAGAGCTCCCGCCCTGACAGTTGAGGGGGATTGAAGAGAGAGCAGGTGGGATACAGACATCTTTGGAAGTGACCTCTTGTGGCTAATCTAGGCACTGCACTCTGCATGGACGAGCTTCATCATCCTTCAAGGTGGCTGGTACTAGAGCCAAGAGTAGGTAGCGTGAGTGGTCAAGATGTCCCTGTTGGAAGACTGGAGATTCCGAGTTCTTCTAATTTCCTGTTGCCGCCCTCTTGCTCTTACTCTTGGAAAGCAGCCATGCAGGGCACCCCTCTCAGTATAGAATGTGCATACTGGGGGCCAATGCGGGGCATTTCCATCTTGGTTGGTCTGGGTCTCATAGGGAAGGGGCAAACTTAAGCAGATCCTCCCAGCCACCTTTTTCCAGAGCTCATGGTTAGGGCCTTTGCCTAACTTAGGAGCCAAGTCCCTAAGCTGCATTACCACTGCTTCTGACAATCTAAGTGTTCTGTGAGGCCAAGCCAGATTAGGGCTTCATGTTCAGGGGATCAGTCTCTGTTTCCTATTCCAATTTCCAAAGCCTTGCTTGCTTGGGAATAAGGGGAAGGAGAGATGCATCAGGCTTCCTGAGCCTAGTTAGCATTGAGAAGGGCATCAGTGGCATTGAGAAGGGCTTTGAGAGTGTGCCAGCCTGTGGTTCTGGGCCTGGCAAAGAGGAGGAAATAAGGCATTGGGTGGATATGCATAGGGGTTCCTGGGCTCCCACATCCCTGTGGCACCAACCATTGGGGCCTCTGATTTCTCCTGCCATCTGTTGCACTGTCCCTTTTGGGACAGGGGACCCTGTCCAACTGCATGTAACTATTTCTTTTTAAATAAAATCTGAGCATTTTGGGTGGCTAAGGTGGGAGAATCACTTGAGCCCAGGAGTTGGAGACAAGCCTGGGCAAAATAGTAAGACCCTGTCTCTACTATATATATGTGTGTGTATATATATATATATATATATATATATTTATATATATATATAATTAGCCATGTGTTGGCGTGCACCTGTAGTCTTAGCTATTCAGGAGATTGAGGTGGATCACTTGAGCCTCAAAAGTTGAGGCTGCAGTGAACCGTGATTGAGCCACTGCACTCCACCCTGGATGACAGAGTGAGACCCTATCTCAAAAACAGTACAAATAAAATAAAATCTGAGGATGATTGATTGGTGGGTCTAGTATGCCATCTGATCCTGAAGTTCATATCCCATTTATCTCCCACCGCCTGTCCCTCCAAGAAAGCATTATTCACCTGGCCATTGCTTGTATTTTTTTCAAAAACACTATTTTAATAAGGAAACAACAGAAATAAAAGATTATTCTCTGGCTGGAGCCCATATAATACATTACATGTACAAAGTGGCCTTCAGCCAGCTCCTGGGCATCTCCCTGGGGCTCTCCTACCACCTGTTTCATGCCAAATTCCTGGGTCCTTGGACCTCTGCTCCTCTCCAGAATATGCCCTCCCCCTCCCCTTATCGCATAATACAGTCGCCAAGAGGAGAACCTGACAAATGGCTGGAATTGGAGGAGGGACTAGTGGAATGAAGATGTTTGTAACAGCCAAATAAATATCAGAGGAAAGTCTCCCTCTCCTAAGGGTATAGGGCAGTCAGGGGAGAAGGTGGTATCCTGCTTTGGTGTGGAGCATGAGTGCCCAGGGAAGCCCAACCTGAGGTTGGCGTAGGATCCCCCTGAACTCCTTAGGATCCCCTAGAATTACTGCCTCCACTGGGACAGGGCAGGAGGCAGAACTGTCCGTTCCTGGGGCTTTAGAGAACTAGAGACCTCCCAAGAGGCTGATGTTGGCATGCCAGGACTACCCAGAGGTCACCGTTGAGGGGAGTTTTGGCCATTGGTGATCGCCGAGTGAGGATCATCCTGGTGCAGTTTCTACCATGGTCAAGTTGACCCTGCTGCAGGTTGCTATGCCAGGGTGGGATGGTGGTCATATGGAGAGAGGTACTCCTGCTCTGCTCGTGTGTTCCAGGCTGGTCCAGGCATTTGGAGGCTCGGGATGCTGGCTGTTGATGCTTGTGCTCCAGCCGTGTTCTGCCCACAGGCAGATGCCCCCCGACATGGGCCCAATGAAGGGCCCTAAGTGGGCAGTGACACCAAGAAAATAGGTCATGGTGGGCATTGCAGGTGGGGAAGGGCACAACTTCTTGAGGGATTGGTGGCATCTCCTCCCAGGTGGTATGTACAGGAGGTGGAGGGACAGCAGGAAGCAAGGAGCCTTGCTGTTGGACTGTGGTGCAGGCCTGAGTTGGCTTCCCTAGGCTGCCCCCACCTAGATGGAGACTTCATATTCTCTCATCTCCTGCAAAGGAAAGAGACTGCTGGGAGTTGGAAACTTGCATTAGATTTGCAGGCCATAATTCACCTTCCCTAGGAAAAGGGAAAAAGTGAGAGAGCTTGGCAGGACCCTCAGGGTTACCTGCCCAAAGCGGCAGAGAACTGGGTCTTGGATAGGGTGGCAAGGCTGGCATGGTTACTTACTCCAGTCTCGTAAGTTGGATTGTCAAACGCTGACTCTACAGTAATGCGGCTGTAGGGGCGGGAGCGTGTGCGGGGCAGCTGCAGGGAGCTTTTTCCCTGGAGCCTGTGGGGCAGAGAAGCCTGTGAGTCAAGACTACTGGGTAGGAGTGAGTCAGGCATGCAGAGCAGAAAGAGAAGCCAGACTTACCTGGAGAAGTAGAGGTATACACCTCCTACCAACAACACCATCGCCACCAGTGGCAAGAAGATGGCAGCTGCAATGTGGGCAGCATCCAGGGTGCTGGAGGCAGCAGGCGCCTTGGCAACTGAAGACACAGAGGGTGGGACTGGAGCAGAGGTCTCTGTCACCTGGAGCCCATATCCTCTCACCTCTGCCCAAGGGCTACCAGCTCCCTCTAGCTGGCTGGGGGCGGGGAAGGAGCTTTTTACTCTGCTAGGCCCAAACCTCTCTCTGCCTTCCCTCCTTGGGAAGCCCATGGCCTGGGAGCCATGAGAACCAGGACCAGGGAGACCACTTCTCTGGCCCTCAAGGGTGGAGACTCACCATCCAGGCTGCGGGTGTTGTAGAACTCATCCAGAGAGGCTGGAACAAGAGGGGAGGGCCAAGGGCAGTGGGTGAGTCCAAGGGGCCAAACCACTAAGGCAGGGAGCGGAGGTAGTGGGCTGATCATGGGAAGCATTTGTCCAAGGAAAGCCCACTCCAGCATGGGTCTTGGTGATGCCAGATCAGAAGGATCTGGCAAAGACTAGAGAGACCAAGGGTAACATGAAGGTGGCATGGGCAGGTGGTTCTGGTTCTCAACAATGCACATCTTTGCCAGAGCAGCTTTATGGTCCAGGCAGGGTTTTAAGGGATGACAGGGCACTCACCAGCCCTACAGATGGGTGGGGGGTCACTCCAATGCGAGGGGTGCCCGGGCACACACTTGATGCTGGCCTGGCCCTTCAGCACGTAGCCAGGGGCACACGAGAAGTGGATGGTGGCCCCTGCTGGGTGTAGCCGCTTCTCAGGACTTTGGGCACCATTCTCAGGGGCACTGAGACCATGGCATGGCTTGAGTTGTTCCACTACAAAGCAGGCAGAGCCCAGTGAGGGTGTCATGCCCTTGGCCTCCAGGGCAGCATCTTTTATGTCCAACTAGAGGTTTTCCCCCCTACTTATCTGACACTTACAGAGACATTTGGGGGCCCGGTCACTCCACTTGGGGCTGCCGGCCTGGCGATCATGGCAGGTGAGGATGGAGCTGCCCGTCAGCACAAAACCCTGGTCACAGATATATTGCACGGTGGCCCCCACAGGAAACTTGGGGCTGGATATGAGGCGTCGGCTGTGCTCCACGTCTCCGGGGTCATGGCAGGAAGTCACTATGGATAGGGGATGATGGGGGGAAGTAGCCCAAGGAGAACTAAGCAGAGGCCAGTTCACCCTGGCTTTGTTCTAGGCCAGCTAACTTCTTCATGTTGTATAGCTCTGTCCCCTGTGTATCTGTCCCTACCATTATGCTGGTGTGTCCCCCGATTTGTCCCCTTCCCACCTGTTAGGGTCGATAAACACTGATTGGCCATCTACCAGGAATGAAATACTTGGCTGATAACCCCATGAAAAGGTATCATCTCTGTTTCACAGATGAGGAAACCGAGGCTATGAGAGGTGAAGGAACTTTGAGGATACTAGCTAATAACAGCTAGTCTGGCTCAGAATCCAGGAGAGAGGCTTGGAACTTGTGTTGGGAAGGGGAGCATGGGTAACAGGTATACTCACCCCTCTGGCACGAAGGCAGGTCCTCACTCCAGGTTAGGTCCCACTGGCACATGAGGACACTGGATCCCACCACCTGGTAGCCAGGGTAGCACTGGTAAGTGACCACAGTGCCGTGCACTAGCTCAGGCTGCGATGGGCTCTTCCAGCCATTGGGGATCTCAGGCAGCTCCGGACATGTGTCATTGCGGGGCACCTCTGGGGGCACAGAGGCACAGGATGCAGGCCTTCAGCCAGCACCAAAGTGACTGTCCGCCTCACCCTGAGGGCGCTCTGGCTCCTGCTGGTTGTTCCTGGACCTAGACTGTCCTGGGCAGGCTCAGGGATCCATTCCTCCCTGCCCAGGTGCCCCTCCTTGCCTGCCTCTGACATTGCTCTGTCTCCTAGATTTCAGGGTTATCATTTAGGCTTTGGCCTTACTTCCAAAAACACCTTGGCCAGTTCCTCAGGCCTGAGAGATGGAACCAGTTACGGTGAGGGAAATTGTCACTTCTATGAAAGACTGTCGGTAAGATAGAAGCCAGCACCTTTCCTTTGTTCTCCATTTTTGTTTAAAAGTTGTTCTGGCTGGGTGCAGTGGCTCACACCTGTAATCCCAGCACTTTGGGAGGCTGAGGGTGGGCAGATCACTTGAAGCCAGGAGTTTGAGACCAGCCTGGCCAATATGGCGAAAACCCGTCTCCACTAAAAATACAAAAATTAGCTGGGTGTGGTGGAGGGTGCCTGTAATCCCAGCTACTCAGGAGGCTGAGGCATGAGAATCGCTTGAGCCCGGGAGGCGGAGGTTGCAGTGAGCAGAGATCGAACCATGGCACTCCAACCTGGGTGACAGAGGGAAACTGTGTCTCAGAAAAAAAAAAAAAGGAAAAAAAAGAAAGTTGGCCGGGCGCGGTGGCTCAAGCCTGTAATCCCAGCACTTTGGGAGGCCAAGGCGGGTGGATCACGAGGTCAAGAGATCGAGACCATCCTGGTCAACATGGTGAAACCCCGTCTCTACTAAAAATACAAAAAAGTAGCTGGGCATGGTGGTGCGTGCCTGTAATCCCAGCTACTGAGGAGGCTGAGGCAGGAGAATTGCCTGAACCCAGGAGGCGGAGGTTGCGGTGAGCCGAGATCGCGCCATTGCACTCTAGCCTGGGTAACAAGAGTGAAACTCCGTCTCAAATAGTCCCATTCTCCATCTGCTCTAAGAAGGAAAATTGGTTCTGCTGCCTACCCAAACCCGTCTTGCGACAACAGAATTCTGGCTCCCCCTCAAAGCAGATGGAGAATGGGACTAGCTTCCTCCAGGTGATCCCTGGTGTTTTTTCAGCTTCCCCTTGACTGAGAGAGCATTCAGGCACCTCACTGCCCTGGCCTCTTTGACTTGCCATGGCTTAGGGCCTGCACTCTTAGTGGGGTAGGGACAAGCTCACCAAAGAAATGGATGACGAAGCCCTGCTGGTAGCCCAGCACTGAGGTCCCGGGGTCCGACTGGAATTGAATGGTGACATCAGCCATGGAGGTAAAGAGCTTGAAGTGGCTACGGGGCCCTGAGTACTGGCCCAGGACCCGGGCTGTCAGGTCATCCCCATCATAGAAGGTAAGTACGTC